GCCTTTCCCCCTCATTTCAGAGGGCCAGCTAACTGGATTTCTAGTAAATGCATTTCACCCATTGTCACAGACATCGGCACCTGAATGGGGTCATTGAGGTGCAAGATTGGGGTCAAGAGCTTTAAGCACTTTTTATTGTATCTGTCAGATGCACATATGCTACAGGGCTTGTCAGCAAAGGTGGCTTCCCTTACATATAGGCACTCATGCCCCAGTGGATTTTCATCATGCAATTTCACAATAGCAATCAGAATTTGCAAATTGTACTGATATAGTCCCAATTCATCATGGCAGGGCCCCAGGATATCTCAGAGACCACTTCTCTCCCTACAATCAGGACTCACCTCCCAGAACAATAGAAGCCATTAGGAGCAACAAAACTAGGCCAACTCAAAAATTGTCCATAGTTTTTCAACCAAAAATTGGGTTTTCAATTAAACAATTTTTTTTTGCCAAAAGTGTCTGCTTTCTGTGGGAAATTGTGACTTTTTGTTGAATAACCTAATACCCCAAAAATGAGAAGTTTTTCATTTTTGTTCTAAAACCAAAAAGTTTCATCCGGACTACATCTCCCATGATACACCACGGTGTCCCCTCTTGCTGAGCCAGCACACTGCATCATGGGAGTCTATGGCCAAGGTACAGCATGTGAAACAGTCCAGCTAAGAAACCTGCCCCTAGAGGAGAATGGGGGCCCGACACACCTTAATTGCAACTCCCAAGTGGCACTGCTGTGGCATTTCCAAATCAAAATTTTTCAGGAAAAAATCCGACCAGCTATAAACGAAATTCAGATCAACATGAAGAGACCTGCAGGAGTAAGAGCCAGAGCATTCTCAGCAGCTAGCCAAGGAGAGGAGATATCAATCAATGCTGTTTAAGCTTTTTGATGCCTTGATATAATTTTTGTAAGGTGCGTGGATACAATAGCGATGAGCAAGGGTTAGACCAACACCCCTCTCCAATGACATTTTGAATCCAATGGCTGTTCTAAATGGAGAAATATGAACCTAACTCCTAGAAAGCAGACTCTGGAGCAAAGTGCTCTCCAACTTGTTTTCAATCACCTGACTCATAGAATCATTTGTTATTTCAGTCAAAGGTAATGATGTCAGAAATATTTTCAACAAAAACCACATCAGTCTTGCCTAGTTTGGCGTTTTATGACAAATCCGAAAGTCAGAACAGGTTTGTCAGAAGGATCACTGTTTCATGAACCTTTTGAATGAGCTTGGGTTCCGTGTCAAGGAAACATCTAGCCTAATACACGCCCCTACCTCAAGACAGGATTGATTCCATTATTCCTACATTATCTCTGTGAAGATCAAATACAGAGATGTGCAAAAAGGATAGGCAAAATTCTAGCCACAAGCTGCACATATGTATGCACCTAAGACTCACAGCAGAAAGGGTGAGGGTAACATGGCAGGGCTCAGCCCTGATTCTCAACACCCCAAAAAATATAGAAATGCTTCCCTGACTTCTTGTGATTTTAACTTGGCAACTTTTTGTCCTGATCCTTTATTCCTAACACATGTCAGTGGGAGTTTGAGGTGTCCAAGGAATTCATGTTTTATGATAGCTATTTTAAAAAAAAATACATTTTGGGACAAATTCTGCCATCAAAACCGTGGGTGCACCTTGCACTTGTCCCTATATACCATGGTGGTTGGTGCATTGGCTTCCCCTTCTCCACAGCATCAAAGTCCAGCTCCTTGATGTCCTTACTTTTAAGGCCCTCCACAAATTTGCCCTGATCTTGTCTTTCATTATGTTGCCCCATTTTCCTCTGTGCCAGCAATGATACCAGTCTCAGTGCCCTGTTTGTCAGCTTCTCCCATGATCCAGTTTGTTTTTTCTTCCATGCTATGCCACTCCTGGAACCCTTCCTGCTCTGTTCTACAAAGGCCCCACCCTCCCCACATACAAATTCCTCACTAAGACCCACTTTTGCAATGAGATCTGAACAATATTTGCGACCTAAAGAGGGCATAAAATGCTATCAAATCAGAATCATTGTGTTTCAGGGGTTGATGTAAAATGTGATGGACACAGTTATAGAAAGATGAGAGTGAAATTTACACGCATCTGCACTTTGCACTGGTGTAAGTGACTACACTAAGTTGAAGGCAAATCAGGACCCAAAGGCTCAATTCTGTCCTAAATTTCAAAGCTGCAATCCTCATTTAATTTCAGTAGGAAGTGACTCTATGTGACTGAGGGCAGAATGGAGCCCCTAAGTATTCTAGTTCTTAACAGCAAAAGGGACAAACTATAATAAGAGCACAGGAAACAAAACAGAAACATAAATTGGAGCTCTGTTTAGTCTGGGGAAATATCATTTATAATCACAGATGGGCATCCTATTGACGTCACATAATCTATTTTAAAATCAATGTGATCACGTGACTGGTTACTAATCTTTTATGTCTGATTAAAAGCTGGCAGTTCATCTGTGTGTGTCTGGTTTCTTTTTTTAACTGTAACTTCAGAAAAGTGAACTAATTCCATCCCTGAGATAATGATGCTTATGCTGGTAATTCTGAGTGTCTTTAAATGGTCGCTTGTTTTGGTCTTCACTTAAAAGTTAGGCTGCCATAGCTACGGAAGTCAGGGGTGTGAAAAATCCACACCCCTGCCTGACGAAGCTATGGTGACTTAACTCCCAGTGTACAGCTGTGTTGACCGATGAGTTCTCCCATTGACATATTTACTGTCATTCAGGAAGGTAGTGTCCCTTCCGTTGCCATAGGCTGAAACTACAGCCCGGGGTTATGGCAGCATAGCTACGGTGATGTAGCTATCCCGGTATAGTCTGCATTGTGTGGAAATACCCACAGCCCCACCATTATGGAATATCCTCCCTTCCACATGCTAGCAGAGATAGTTTTTACCATTGGGAACAGTTCCATTATTAGTAAGTCTGTTCCTGCTCCTACTGAAGTCAATGGCAAATCTCCCTTTTAATATCTGGTGTGGGATCAGGCCTTAAATTAGCATTTCAAAGAAGTTATTCTTTATTACATAAGAACATAAGAACGACCATACTTGGTCAGACCAAAGGTCCATCTAGCCCAGTGGCTAATACCAGGTGCCCCAGAGGAAATGAACAGAACAGGTAATTATCAAGTGATCCATCCCCTGTCGCCCATTTCCAACTTCTGGCAACCAGAGGTTGGGAGACCATCCCTGCCCATCCTGGCTAATAGCCATTGATGGACCTATCCTCCATGAACTCATCTAGTTCTTTGAAATATTAGTTTGCATCTATACCTTGCACTTCCATAGAACCTTTCACCCCAGGATCCCAAAACACATTACAGGTGTGACATAATTATGACTCTCAACAGCCTGTGTGGTTGTTAAAGGGTACATAAGGATCACTTCACCCACAGGAATGCAGCCACCTCTGAATTGGAACTCAGAAGCTGACTGACAACATGCAGCAAGGCTACACAAAAATCTGGTACCTGAAATGAAAGAGATTACAGTATACAACTGATACTACCAGGAGCACTTAGAGAAGCAAAACGTAATGAAGTTTAACTAGGGCACAGGGGTGAACACCCCTTTTCTTATTACAATAACAGTGGAGACTTTAAAGATGGTCAGCTATTCGGTTTACATCTCAGCTGAAAGACAGCCCCTCCACAGCATGAAGCCACTTATCACACTTGTTCATCTCTCACTCAAAGGGAAGAGTGTCTGCTACCGAATCAAAAACATCACCCCTGTTCTCTCTGGGTTCTAATACTGCTCCCCCACCTGAGTGTCTGAGCACTGGACTGCAATAACCGTTAAGCCATGTGTTTGTTTCCTCATCCTCACTCCATGGGGAGAAGTGAGCACTGTGGAGTTCTTGTTCTGGATTTTTATATATTTATATACTTTTATATACACAATGGGGCAAAAATTGGGAATTGGTCCTGCTTCGAGCAGGGGGTTGGACTAGATGACCTCCTGAGGTCCCTTCCAACCCTGAGATTCTATGATCCTATGATTCTAAGGCATGTCTATGTAGGGCGCCTTACACTGGGGGTCAAAGGCAGTGAAGTTTGTGATGGGCCTCAGTTCCTGTGGGAATTCATTCCCATCTAGGAGCAGCCCCCAAGAAAACTGTCTTCTCTGCAGATGATCTTTACCCTCAATGTTCTTTTCAGACTTCATAGTCCTCTGTCTGATCATGCTTAGTTTCTGACAGCTGATAAGGCCACAGTACAGAGTGGTGTGGCCGCAAAGCAATACATGGATTCAGAAACCAGCGACATGCAAATCATGTATGAGCACATGGACTGTATTCTGATATCACACCCATTTAAAACTAACTCCACTGAAGTAAATGGAGTTGCTCTGGATTTATATCCATGTGAGATCAAAATCTGACCTAATATTCCTCTTAGAAAGCGCATATGTTCTCCCCCATTCAAACCTTAAAATACATTATTTTATATATCAGTAGTGGGAGTCTAGGGGCCACAACTTCAAAGAAGCGGTAATGATTTATAGCAGATGAGGACGTAGACTAAAGGGCCAAATTTTGCTCTCACTTGTAAATCCACTGCAGGTAATTGAACTACTTCTGATTTACCCCAACTTAACGGACAGTATGATCTAGGTCAAGGTACCTGAAAATGAATGTAACATGAACCAGACACACATCTGTAAGACAGATACTATGAATTTACCTTTGAAATCTGCAAAGGGGATTTCTGGTGGTATTCGCAGAATGTTTCAATGTGTCAATATGAGAGGGGCGTTATTATCAGCTATGAACCTCCAGGAAATAAGCCAAGGTTAAGCAAGTGAAATAGAAAATGAAAAGAAGAGCAGAGGACTCACATTTAATTACTATGACTGAGGTCTATATTCACATGCTTACGGGAGCTTGGGAATAGGTTAGAGCAGATGACTGCTGAGCAATGAATTCAAGGGCCAGTCTATTGGGAGTATTTTTTTTTCTCTCAGTGACTTAAACTTCTGTCTGAGTTCTCAGAGTTTTTAGTCAGCTGGCCTGTAGCAGAGCTGCAACTTCCCCAAGGAAGCCCTTCCTCAACTTTCACTGGAGGGCTGTCGGGAGAGCCTGGGAGAGGAACGCTGCAAGCAGAAGGGAAGTCTCCTCCTTCATCCAAACAGCAGGTATGTACAGCAACGAGTTAAACTTTGATGCTGCTGGAAAGCTGAGCCAAACGTTTCTCTGACTGCAGGACAAAGTGGGGATTCAGTAACTTGGAGCTGCAGCCTTTTAAAAAAATATAGCACTGAGGATGAAGGCACTGTTTAAATGAAACAGATTTGTGCTTATGAATGGGCTGAATAACCGATCAAATGTACCACACAGTGGGCACGTTCCATACAGCTGTATGGCTAATTCATTGGGGAGCCTATTACAGTGGCTTGGATCCTTTAAGTTAAGGAAGCACTGGTAAGTTTTACAACAAAACGATTGTGATGTTTCCTCCGTCTTTTCACGACTAATGAAAATAGTAGTGAGACTTACTAAACCCTTTGGGGCAAGGACAGCATGTCTGAAGGGGCTTGGTACATTCTGGGGGCTTCGGCAATATAGGTACGTATACTAATATTATAGAAAGTCTCCTGGCTCACAGTACTGGTATTGAATGCAGGGAAATGAGCCAGGCATCATGAGTATCCTAGCTCTTGTGCTGACTCACTATCCAGCCTTGGGCAAATCATTTAACCCCTCTGTAAGATGGGGATAGCAGTATTTAATTTACCTTTCATCACAGCTATTAAAAAGCAACCTTTAAACTTCCCACACAGTGGTAACCGGGTGCGAGACACCATTCTCAGCATAGAGGGAAACTGGTAGCTCAGAAGCCACTGTAGACAAATGAAGGTTTATGCTGACACTCTCCCCAGGAGGTTATGATTCTTGATTAACATTTGTACAATGCCTTGAAAATATGAATATGACAATGCCAAATATTCCTTTTCAAAATCTTCCTTCCTCTTTATGCTATGCCAGGGTTCACGTGGCCCTGCAAAGGCAATGAAAATGCCTATGTATAAAAACCTAAGAAAATACTCTTCCAAGTGTTGTTGTAGCCATGTTGGTCCAAGGATATGAGAGAGAGAAGGTGTGTGAGGTGAAGTTGGTCCAATAAAAAGACATTACCTCACCCAACTTCTCTCTCAAAGAAAATACTGTGAGAGCCAAACACTGCAGCCTCATTCATAAAAATATGTCTCCTAAACAAAGGTCCAGGTTAATCAAAACAGGAAACTTTTTTTGGTAATTGAAAAAGGGTTTTCAATTATCTTAATATTATGAAATCTCTCCATTATTTACTTATCAGTTTGATTTGTTTTTTAAGCAAAGGGTTATGGCTTAGTGGGTAGATCAAATATTTTGGCCTTTTACCTGAAGAATGACACATTATTCCCAAGAGGGTTACTGGACACCGTCCCAGTCAAAGGTATCTGAAATTAATTTCCTGGTGTCATTTGATCTCCTCTAGGATTACAGAACACATACATCCGCCTGAATTTTTCTTTAAAGATTGAATTCACTTGGAATAATAAATAAATAATAATAATACCTCCACCACCTTTGGTCAAAGGTCCATACTCTCTGTGTCATCTCTCTCTATTGATACACATCCAGAGATTATCTTCATAGTTATTTTTATTACGATAGAGCCACAGGGCCAACCATTGTGCTAGGCACTGTACATACTCAGAGCAGTAGAAGGCCCCTGTCCTGAAGACCGCACAATCCAAATAGACAGACATAGGGAGGGGGAAGGAGTACAACCAGCTTTTTTTTGGTGGTGGTGGGGAGGTTAAGGAAGAGATAAAAGGGAAGAGGATTGGGGGGACAGGGCAGGAGAGAAGAGGATAAACGAGTGTAGAGCTTCCCTTGGGAGATTAGTCCAGTGCTGGGGCAGAGAACAGGTCTATGGTTGTCTCCCCACTCCTGCTCTTGGAGATTCATTTCTTAACAGACAGACAGATAGTTTTTTCACTTCTCTAAGGTAATGTTCCTGGTACTTGAACTGAAAGTGGCCCAAAGGAATAGAATCTTCGGTCTATTTGTTGTTCATGAAAGAGAGGGTCTGAGACCACTCTGTCCACAGTAAGGGTCTGATACCACTCTGTCCAGCTCTGAACAGAACCCAACCATCTACAGACAGACCCTGCACAGAAAGGACTTCTGAGGGTGCTGCATTAGAGAGTGATTAAACTAGTGATGGACAAACTCCAAAGGGCTGGAGGTTTGAGTCACATAAGCACCCAGAAGTATTAATGTTTCTCCAAAACCCTTGGAGATGTGCAACAGATCACTGGAAGTCTCATGAGAACCAGCTTCTGGGATTTCTGCTATTTCCTACTCCGGGTCATGCGGGGAGAAGACCATGAGAATGACCTTTGAAAGAAAGGAGTATCTGAATACACAACTCTGAGGGATGAACTGCTGAGTTCTAGCCCCAGCACTGTCACCACATGCCTGATTCTGCTCCCACTGACGTCACTGGCAAAACCCAGTCGAGTTCACTAAGAGCTACAGTAGGCAGTGATTTGTGCTGTGGCCTTGGGAAAATCACGTAGAGCCCAATTCCACAAGGTCACAGGTGCTCTCAACTTCCATTGACTTCATCAGGATTTGAGAGCTCTCAGCCCCTTATGGGAATGAGCACTTGATCTTGCTGCCTCAGTTTCCCAATCTGTAAAATAAGGATAATATTTACTTTACATTACTGGGATCCTCAAGATATAACTAGCTAATGTCTCTACAGCACTTTAAAGATGTAAATTGCTAAGTGTCATTGCAACCAAATTCCAGAAGAGCAAATATTCACAAAAATAATGGCAGAGGGAGGTTACCCAAATGTTTCAGAATCTTTAAAACAGTTTGGTTTGAGATCTGTTCTAGGAATAGGCACATGGCTGAGCAGATTTCATGGACTTTCCCACAATGGTTGGTTCACCTCTGATAATGAATCCAAATTTCCCACAAGTGTAGGGTGACCAGATGTCCCGATTTTATAGGGACAGTCCCGATTTTGGGGGCTTTTTCTTACATAGGCACCTATAACCCCCTTCCCTCCACCCCCCACACCCTATCCAGATTTTTTACACTTGCTATCTGGTCACCCTACACAAGCATGACAGTCGAACCCCCCTACATCCAGACTGCGGGCAATGTGAATTTTCACTTGCTCAAGGCATTGTCTTATCTTATGTGCCAATGGTGGAATTCACACAGCAGACAGTTCACTGCAGCTTGGATTGGGAAAGCTCCATTAGTCCACCTTCCAGGATCATTCCAAGAGCTGGTTAAAAACTTTTCGACAGAAGGGAAGCTTTCATGAAAAAAAATTCTGTTTCTGTAAAATATTTTCAGGGTTTTCTCAAAAGTCCCCAAATGTTTTGGCTTTTTATTTGAAAAAACTAAAGAAAATCTGTGTTTGGGGTTTTTCAACAAACACCTGAACGATTTTAAAGAACATTTTCAAGGAAAATGTTTTGATGATGATGGGATAAATCATAAAGGGATGATTTAGCTGGGGTGGGTCATGCTTTGAGCAGGGGGTTGGACTAGATGACCTCCTGAGGTCTCTTCCGACCCTCATCTTCTCTGATTCTATGAAAATGAGAAATATTCATTTTTGGTAAATTTTTTCACAGGAAAAAAAATATTTTCCAGCCAGCCTTAATCGTTTCTGATAGCCCATTTTTTAGTGTCTTTTCCAGTCTAGCTCTAAAAGTCACATGGAGTGAGGCTCACACCACTTCTCTTGGGAGTTGTTTCCACAGTGGAATACATCTCACTGATCGGAAGCTTTCCAGTTAGATGTGATTTTCTCTTTCTCTGTTCATTATTCCTAATCATACCCCTGCGTGCCACATGAAATAATCTCTCTCCTCTCTTTGGTGCTTATGCCTTTCCTTCTCAGGGTGCCTTACAAAAAACAAACAAAACACCCAAAGCCCTACTCCAAAGAGCTTATTTTTGACCACAGGAAAAATATAGAGCAACATTCAGACAAGTGTGGGTTTGGAGACCACAATGGTGAAATCAGCATAGGAAGGAATTTGCAGCAATGGGGTTTTAAGTAGGAAAAGGCACCTGGAAGACAAATATTGGTCCAACCATAGGGGGCAGCATGAAATAATCCATATATAAACTAACTCACGGTAAATCTGAAATCACCATCGTATCTTAATGTTAGATCTAAAATCTTCTTTTGAAATGAAAATATTTATTTGAAGGTCAGGCAGGCGGAACAATAAGTGGCCACAGAAATCAAACCGCTTGTCTAGATGCAGCAGGGCCCACCCCAGCAATCTTTAGTCACCCTCACTCACATGAGTAGTCCCATTTAAATCTACACCGATAAACCATCTAGGGTGTGTTCTAGACAACAATGAATTCCCATTTACTTCAGAGTTATATCAGGGCCCTCTGGACAAATCAATCAATAAGACGATTTGTTTGAGGAAGGATTACTCCAGTGAGTAAGGGTTCCAAGATCAAGGGCTTCACTTGCATCAGTATTGTATCTTCTCATTTATAATTCTGAAATCTCAATTTATTTTGTAAGATAGTGATTCAGGGACTTTGAGTTTGCCTGTCATATGCTCTGTGGCTCCTTTACAGCTCTTTAGGAATGTAACTCACAGACACAAAAACCTAAAGTAAACACACTGACTGATCCATACACAGAGTCAAGCAATGACATCTACAAAGAGAAGTCAAATATTTCTCTGGGCAAACACGGGGCCCAAACCTGAGAGCCTTGCTCAGTCAAAATTCCTGTATTTCTCAATTTGTGCTTTCCCCAAGTAGGCATTCCAGGACGAGTCTCCGAGTAGCTAATTTTCTTCTTAACACAGTGGTTGCTAGGACCCAGCAAACAACCAGGAGAGGAGTCAGAAGGGAGACAAGGGACATAATTTAAAGCAGACACTGTCCCAAATAAGGATATTTCCCTTAAAATGTCTCAGTTTCATCTCAGGCTGCAAAGTTACCAATGAAACCACTCCGTACTCTGAATGGGCGAGAGTGAAAATAAGGGTGATCTAATCTGTGCTATGGCTGACTAAACTCTGTAGGGATGGATACGATTTTTTTTTTTATAGCAGAGGGTGGAAATGCAAATAACTGACACATGAAACAAGGTAAATTAATATATTCACTCTGTTCTTAAAAACAGCAAACGCAAAAATGCATAGCACTAAGGAGCCTGGGGGTACATGGCCCTCTGTGTAGTTAGTGTGTGTCTTACGTATGTTAAAGGAATACACAATGCGGCTTTGCTTCTCTTTTCTTTAGTTTGGATGAGAAAAAATAGTAATAATTAATTGTCTATATTACAGAAATCTAATCTTGAAGGAATTGGGAGTTTGTTGTTGTCATTGCTAAATACAAATGGCAACATTTAACCTGTATTAATGTTTACTGTTTAATGCCAAAAAAAGAGGATTGCAGAGCTGGTTGTTAAGGCAATAGACTGGGACTCAGGAGATCTGAGTTTAATTCCCAGTTCCTGTATGTCCTTGGGTGAGTCACTGACGTTATATGCCTCAATTTTCCTATCTGGGAAATGGAAATAATGATACTTCTTTTCTCCTGCACTTTGTCTGTCTCATCTGATTAGACATGCTGGCTCAGGTCCTAAGGTTTGGTATGGGATGGGAGAGGGGTGAATCTTATTCTCCAAAATTCATTCGTTGTCCAACTGTGGAGTGGGGAGCTGGGATGATATGAAGTCTAGGCGGAAAGTTGTAACATTAAAGATGCTTTGAGGCTCCACCCTGTTCCCGCTGAAAACAGTGGGGATTTCACTATAATGGGAGCATGCTGGGACCGTAAATTAAACTGCCTGCATTGCAGGGAGTCCTGGTGCTAATAACAGCTCCCTTTATAGCAAGTTACTGTTTCAGCTGCTCCCAAGTTACTTTTGAAGATCCTGGGTTGTCAGCGCCATCAGCTCAGATGTAGGTGGTCGGGCTTTGTTAGTGGCTGCAGCACCGTGTGGGTCTTCAGCCACTCCGGCAGACTCCCCACAGATCCTGTGATGTCTATGCCTCTTGTACTTATTTACCAGGCAGTGGAGTGAGAAAGCAAAGGAGCTGCACTGATGAAAACTAGGCAAAGCAGGAGAAAGCGCCTCAGCCTGGTACTTGAACGGAAAGTGACCCAAAGGAATAAAATCTTCAGGTCTATTTGTTGTTCATGAAAGAGAGGATCTGAGACCACTCTGTCCACAGTTAGCTACCCTGAACTTGATCGAATATGTGTGGTCTAGTGGTTAGAGCAGGAGACTAGCAATGGATTCTACTGCACTTGGATACCAATGTGGTAGTCACCTTAGAAATACGTAGGATGGACAGATTCCTTCCTCTGCAGCTGATTTACCCAAGGTCCCTCAGCAAGTCACTTAGCCACTCTGTGCCTCTTTTTCCCAGGGGAGGAAGAGCCCAGTCTCCAAGCCGGGTTCAGGCAGTGATTCATTACAGTTTGTGAAGCACTTTGAGATCTTTGGATTTGCAAAGTCCTTTTTAAGTGCAAAATATTATTACTGAAAGCACCCAAGTAAAATTCTCCCGCAGCGCTAATTTAATGGATGGAGTCCATCGCAGACAGGAAATACTCCGGGCTGCACTGTTTGGAGCCGTACCCCAGGATACATAAAAAACTGCCCTATATGGGGCAGTTTCCAGCAGAGATTATTTATTTTATTTTTTTAGATATGAAAGATACCCAAGCAAAGCTCTGGGCGCCTCGCCATTATTTAAAGATCACAAATCATAAATATGCACGTCAGCCTTTCTTCCCCTTTCAAATCCCGCGGTGATCCCCCAGACAATCCCCTGTCCCCCTTCGACTCTTACTCCAAAACAACCCCACAGATGAGTCCTGCAGCATGTTCAGAAGGTCAACAAATTTAGGCTCCTTTGAACTGAGTGGGGAGAATTCCAGAGAATTCATGGAGAGCACTCTGCCAGCTGCTAATGTACAGCACCTGCCATTGAAGGGTTTGGGAGCACTTTGCCAACAGTAGTTAAAAGGCTTCAGAACACCCGCTAGAATACTGTCCCTATTTTAGAGATCGGGAAACTGAGGCACTGAGGACATTAAGAACCTTTGATCACAGTGCAGTGTTCAAGCCTAAAATAAAACCCACCGGTATCACAGCTCCCAGATTTCCACCCCACCCCTGATCAGACTCGACTGGAATGAGGAAAACATGCTCTAAAAACAGAGCAAGTCATAGGTGGCCTGAACTTCCCAGGATCTGTTTCCTGGAGTCATCCTTGCTGTTGCTCATGTGATGAGGGACATGCAAAGTTACACTCACAGGAAGCCTAGGGACTGGTATAAAGAATCAAGCCAAACTATGGGGCAATGCTGTGGCAAAGAGAAAAAGCAAACAGAACTGTGAATGACGCTCAAAAGGGAAGTGATTTGTACTGGCTGGGGGCTAGGGCCCAAAAGAGGATTTCTAGCAGACTTAGCTAAAATTTCCCCAGGAAGCTCCCAGGCCTCACATCCTAGTGCAGTGGTTCTCAACCAAGGGTCCGCAGCCCCTCAGGGGGCCGTGAGCCGGCTTCAAGGAACCATGGGGCCAAACAGCTGAAGCCTGGCACCCCGAGCTCTGGCACCCCTGTGGGGCTGAAAACAGGAGCCCGAGCCCTAGTACCCCCATGGAGATGAAGCCCAGCACCCTGAACCCTAGCACCCCCAAGGGTCTAAAGCCTCGAGTCCTAGTGCCCCCCTGTGGGGCTGAAACCAAGAGCCCTGAACCCACCCCTGCTGGGCCCAGGAGGTTTTATAGCATGGGGTGGGGGGAGACCTCAGAAAGAAAAAGATTGAGAACCCCTGCCCGAGTGCACCTGTTTGCACCACTCTTCATCTGGCAACTAGAGCCACTTTGCACGGATGCACCAAAGACAGTTTGCCTGTTAGCCAATATGTCCTTTAAAAACTAATTCAGCGAAGGGAGTTCCACCATCTGTGAATGACTCCACCTGTTCAGCCTCGAGAAACTCAAGAAATGGAGGAATTTCCTGAAAGAGTTGTCATGTTTATGACAGAGGCTGTCATAAGGGTGTGTTCTTTGAGATCAGAGCAGGGGCCTTGGATCTAGGATTGGTGAATTATATTCACAGCTCTGCCACTGATTAAACTCAATCTGCCTTGAGCAAGGCACTCAGCCTCTGTGCCTCAGTTTCCCCATCTGAAAAGTGGGAATACTACAATTACTAACCTTCAGTATCCAGGGGGAGTTTGGGGCAAGGGAGGTTATCTCCTTCCTCTGAAGCATCAGGAATGGCCACATCTGGAGATGGAACACTGGATGGGGAGGACCTCGGCTCTGAGGTGGCACCAAGCATTCTCTCTCACAGGTGCTTGGCTGGCTGATTCTTGTTCACATGCTCAGGGTCGAATTGATTGCCAAATCTGCGGTCAGGAAGGAAGCTTTCCCCAGGTCGATTGGCATGTGGGTGTGGGTTACTTGCCAGGATTATCTGGGTATATTTCACAGACTCATTTCCCTGCCTTTGTGGGGGCCTCAGCCACTGGTGCAACTTGGTCTCTCCTATTCTCTGCCTGTGGCACATAATAGTCCAGTCTCCAGTGGTCTCATTCCAGTTGTGGGGCTATTGTGCAGGCACTGGGTGGTGTTGGTGACCTGTGATATACAAGTCAGACTACATGTTCTGATGGTCCCCTCTGGCCCTATGATTGTATGGTACCTTGCCAGGGTCTGGTGTGACTTCATTAAAATGTTTGTAAAGCTCTTCCAGGTCCTGGGAGGAGAGGCGCTATAAAAGTGGAGACTATTATAATCATATCATTTGTTGAGCACCACCAGTGTGCGCAGGTGAAGACAAAGGAGAGATAGGGCCAGATTTACAAGGGCAATGATCATCCACTAGCTGCCTTGAGAACAACAGAGCTACTGAATGCTGAGCACTTGTGAAAGCCTGATCACTTGCTTAGGTGCGTAAGTGGAAGCTGTCAGGTGCCATGGTGTTTGAAAATCTGGCTGACAGTCTAAGATATGCAACACAGTGGGCAAGCCATAGAAACGTTCAGTCTTAGAGCTTTCCTGCCGGCTCTCCTACTTCATAATGCTCCCTTCTCTGCTGGAATGGGCCAGAGGGCTTTGCAAATGAAGCGAGCTCAGAGGTGGGGTAAGTTATTCTACTATGTATGCAAGTCCCTGTGCCAATCGCTGGTGCGGACCCTGCTGTCCAGTGGCTGCCAAGACTTAACACCCTGTTTAGCTTGAACCCGTCTTTGCTTTTCCCTGCAGAGCCATGAAACTGTATCTTTTACTCTTCCTGGCAGCGAACGGAGGGATCTCTAGCCATCGGCCCTTGGAAGAGTCACCCTGTGAAATGGTAAGAGATTCCCCAAGGAGGAGCCATCTCCTCTTTCACGTCTCTCCTTAATTATTAGTCGTACCATTCTAGTAGCACCTAGAGGCCCTAAATGAGCCTGGGACCCCGATGACATGGGTGCTGCAAACATGTAGTAACTGACAGTCTCTGCCACAAAGAGCTTACAATCTAAGGGTCTGTCTGCACAGCAGCCGGGCGATGTGATTCCCAGCTTGGGTAGAAGTACACGTGCTACCTCTGCTCAAGCTAGCAATGTGGCTGAGGGGCCTGGGCTAGCCACCCATGTACAGTCCTGTGCCAAATCCTGGGTACGTACTCGGGTGGCTAGCCTGAGCTGCCTGCCACCCGAGTGCCTCCACGGCCGCACTGCTCTATTTTTGCGCCCGAGCTCATGTAAGGCCGACAGACCCCGGTTGTCAGTGGGCAGGATTGAACCTGGGACCTTGGGAGCGAAATGCGTTAGCCGCAAGCCACATGGCTCTTAGCTAAAGCGGTAGCAGACTCATTAATCTCTCAGTGGTCTCGGTGCCACCAGAGGGGCACAGACCACCACACCCAGGAGGCACATGGGTTACACTCGCACAGAGCCAACGCACAGATCTCTAGCGGAGCTGGGAATTACACCTCTCAGTTGCTGTGCAGACAGACCCTACATGGGCAAGACAAGCATAAGGTGGGAGAAAGGAAAGATTTTTATCCCCATTTTATTGCTGGGGAACGGAGGCACAGAAATATTAATTGACTTGCCCAGAGTTGCACAGGAAGTCTGTGGCAGAGCCAGGAAGAGATCCCAGATCTCCTGAGTCCCATTCCAGCATCTTACGCACAAGGCGATCCCTTCTTAAAAAAGGAACTTCTTCTGTGACATGAACAAACCCCACGGCTCCCCCTAGAGCAGTGGTTCTCAAAGCCGGTCTGCCCCTTGTTCAGGGAAAGCCCCTGGCGGGCTGGACTGGTTTGTTTACCTGCCGTGTCCGCAGGTTCGGCCGATCATGGCTCCCACTGGCCGCGGGTCGCCGCTCCAGGCCAATGGGGGCTGGGGGAAGGGCGGCCAGCATGTCCCTTGGCCCGCACCGCTTTGAGAACCACTCGCCTAGAATGACCGTGAGCCCCATTCTCCCGTCACTTACACTGATTTAACACTGACTTCAGTGGAGTTGTTCCTGACTTATGCTGGGTGTGAGGTCAGAATCAGGCCCACTTAGAGACAAAACCCAAAACCTCTGTCTCCAAAGCATGATTTGTCCCACAGAATTTTTTTTAAACACCTTATATCAGAATGTATATGTTATGCACAGATGAACTGGTTCTCCTCTCCCTCCTTCCCTTTACCCCGATACAGCTGACAGTAAAGGGGAGTTTAAAAATACTCCTCTACTACTTTAAATGTTGAAGCTGTTCAGCACAAATCCTCAAGAATTTCCAAAATAGGGAAAAGAATAATTTGCTGGCTGTGCAGATCTCCCTTATGGGACTCATTCCTCTCCTGCTGTACTTATGCACTTCCTGAATTCAGGGAAATTAGGGTCTAGCATACAAAAAGAACTTGGGAAGGTGGCTGGATCTCTCCCTTATTGGCTGGAGAGGAAGAAATGATGAAACCACTGTAAACATGACACTTTTGGTCCCATGCATCCCAGACATGCGAACTCAGGATGACACACACCATAAATCTAATAAGGGCTTACCCCCTGCCCTTATTTTGATGGATTGTAGATCAAGCTGATTCCTTGAGAAGTAAATATTGGCTGATTTCCGCAACCCCACTGTAAACCTCACTCTTCCAGGCAAAGGAAGAGTCAAAAAAAGTTTTGATCTGTTTAGTGCAACTGGGATACATTTGATGCTGACAAAACACTCTGTAGTCAGAGCCAAGTTCTCATCTAGTGTCAATTGACACCGCACCATTAATCTCAATGGAGTTATACTGGTCTACACTGGCTGAGAATCTGGCCCAGTCAGATAAGACAGGGTCCAAATCCAAACACAGTTCAGCCCAGATTAACTTTGATAGCGAGAGCAATTGGCATTCCCTGTTATTTCACAATGTGATGTTTCACAAATCACTCTTCCTGTGATGACATCTTTTGACTAGAGGAAGGCCATAGCTGGAATCTTTTATCCAACCCATCCCGAAGACTGATGGTTCATAAAACTGGACCCAGCTCTGAATCGCAAGGGGTATTTGTTTGGCAACATCACAACTCAGTTAAAGAGGTATTTCAAAATCAACCCCCCCAAATTCCCTTATGGGTCATTGCAGAGAAGAGACAAAGGGCCAGATTCTCAGCTGCTGTAACTCAGCACCAATATACACAAACTGAGGATCTAGGCCAAAGCCTTGTGTTCAAACACCCAAACTTTAGTGTCTAGGATGAGATGGGACCAAGATCCAAACCACCCTGGTTTTAGTTTTGTTAAAGAAAAGGCAGCTTCTGGCTCCAGCCCCAAAAATGACCAGCTGGAGTTGAGTGGCAGAGTTTGAATCTGAATCCAAACTTCCCCACACTTCAGAATTGTTGGGCCAATTTTTATCTAATAACCACCTTTTCTATGTGGAGCAGATGTTGACTTTCTCACTCTTAGCACTGCAGGCCACTGTACTTTAAAACTAACAGCTGCCAGAGCTGAGGAGGAAGGAACGCGAGCCCAGAAGATGACAGCTTTGCTAATGCTCATTCAAATGCTATTCTTTCTGGCTCCTGAGTTTTCTTCATCCCACTCCCAACCCCTTCCTTAGCTGACTGAATAAGGCCTCCTCCCTACCCCCCTCCCTCCCCCCCGCTAGATCCTTTGGGCCTCTGGTCACCTTTCAGCTCAAGTGAGCCACTCTAAAGTCTTGGTGAGAAGGCGCTAATGGCTCAGAGAAGCCAGGATGCATCCCCTTCCCCTTCCTGGGGATTTAGCTGCTCTGGGTGGATTTGGGGTTCAAATTTCAATATGCGGGTCACTTGGGAGCTTTCAGAGAGCTTTGCCATGAGGGGAGCACCGCGCAGCAGACTGGGTGTAGCTGGAGTCCAGCCCTGGCTGAGGGGTTTCATTTGTCTGGCATATTTATGACAAGCCACACATCCGGCAACGTGCACTCTCCATTACTCACATGCGTAAGTGATTCACAAAACACTGGATGTTACCCAGATTCTCGTAAACATCCCAGAGGCTTCATCCTCCTCTCCCCCTCCAGCTTGTGTGAAACAGATGTTTGGAGGAGAGATTTTTGTTTTAAAGGCTAACACACAGCCTTGCTTCATGACGGTTAGCTCCTAGTCCTCCATATAAGAATAATTAGAGGGATTCAGCAAGCAGTTTGACCCAGAGGATCCCGTGACCTACATGAATAGATAGATACCTATTTAGATAGCGTAGATGCTTACTAAGCATTTTGGACTCTGCTCCAATCTTGCTGCTGGATGTTAATTTTAACAGCACAATGTGTACGCCTTACACTTACACCAGGCCTTTTAGCCCCCTGCTCCCAAAATTCCTTGCAAATTATGGCTCATATTTTGCCCTTGGGTTCATACTTGAAGCTCCCCATCAACTGCATTCAGACTAGGGTGACCAGACAGCAAGTGTGAAAAATCGGGACGGGGGTGGGGGGTAATAGGTGCCTATATCAGACAAAGCCCCAAATATCGGGACTGTCCCTATAAAATCGGGACATCTGGTCACCCTAATTCAGACCCACACATCCGAGAGAAGAAACTGACTTTGATGTATGGGTATTAATTTACCAGCTGCTTTAAAGCATCCCTTAAAAGGCCACACACTTTACTCATCCCGATTTCACCCTGAGCTGTACCAGTGAGAGCAGCAGCATGTGTGAATCCCTCCACATGCCATTTGCCTGCTGCATTCCTTCTAGTCCACATGTAACAGTGTGCACCAAACTGGTCAGCAGGCCAAAAGAAAGAAGCTGTTGCCTTGGAGAAAGCACAAACATAGAAGGACAGAGGTCTGGATAAAGTGGAGGGAGTTTGAGGTGAGATGTAGAAATGTTTTGGGATGATTTAAAGACGGATTGCTTAGCTAAACAGTGGTTACGGAGAGATGTGATTACAATCTACAAATATTTGAAGGGTGTAAATAACAAGACGAGGGGTTGTTTATTTAGGGCTGGATTCCGATAGACTTCCCCTCGATGAGTAGTACCGTACTTTGAGACTAATCCCACTGAAGTCAATGGAGCTAATTATGGAGTATTATTCATTTAATTATTCATAATATATATTAATACTTATTTTATAGTTTAATTATTCATAATACTTATTAATTTAAGGCAAAGTGGCAGAATCTGGTTTATTATGAGGCACGATGGGGTAGTCATGAAATTATGCCAGGGAAGTTTAGGCTGAATAAATATCAGGGAAAAGTGTTTGAGTGCAAGGTCTAATAGACAGTGGAATAGTCTCAAGGGAAGTGATGGGACCCACCATTCAGGACCTTTAAAACTAGACTGGATGAAAGGTACAAAGTGAACTAATCCTGTGCTGGCTAGCAGATGGGCTAGATGATCTAATGGATCCTCTCCAGCTTGAACTTTTATGATGCCAGATCTCAAAAATCAAAGGACCCAATTCTCTTCTCTCTTAGGGGTAATCTACATGGGGGAATTTACTGGCATAATTATACCGATACAATGATACTGCTGTAGTTACCCTAGTATAACTCCCTACATGGGAATTCTTCCTGCAGTACAAGTCAAGAGTATCTCCGTTGAAATGAAATGAAAACCCACCCTACATTGTGAAGAAATTCAGATTTCCTGTTGCCTGAATAGAGAACAGCATAGTACGACGAATTGCAAAGAAAAGGAATATAATCAGATTCTGAATATTATGTTGTCTTTATACTGTATGAAAAGCCATTGAGCATCCCATAAGTGGTAACCAGGACTCCCTGTTCTCTTTCTTTTCTGCAGATAAAGATGAAGGCATTTTGTCATGGCAAAAAGCTTCACCAAATCCCTCCAGAGCTCCATCCAAACATAAATAAAATAGATTTGTCTGGAAATCAGATAAAAAATATCTCTGAGAAGCCACTGACATTTTATACCTCGCTCCAGCATTTGGATTTAAGATCCAACCAAATAAGTTTCATTGAGCCTGGAGTCTTCACACACATGACAAGCCTGATGGAGGTAAATTTAGCCAATAACCAGTTAGATGAGTTGGCTCAGCATAGGACACCGGGGGTTGGACTTTTACCAGAGATCAGATCACTGGACTTGTCCCACAACAGACTTTACAATGGAATGGCTGAATATTTTATACACAAAGCACCATCACTTCAGTATCTTTCCTTGGCAGAAAACAGCATTACCGTGATATTGCGCAGGATGTTTCAGGGGTCTCCAGCTCTTGTTGAGGTTGACCTCCACAGTAATATCATCATGGAAATAGAAGAAGGTGCCTTTGAAACTCTGGTGCATCTCACCAAGCTCAATCTCTCCATGAACTCGATCACTTGCATCTCAGATTTCAACCTCAGACAACTGCAGATACTCGACCTCAGTAGGAACAGCATTGAGACTTTTCATACCACAGAGTCAAAGGAAGAGTATAACCTGAGGTGGCTGGATCTTAGTGAGAACAAGCTACTGCGCTTCCCAGTTTTCCCCCAGGTGAACAAGCTGGCGTATCTGAATTTATCTAAGAATTTAATGCAGCTTACTGCAGACTCTGCTCACAATGAGATGGACTATATGGAAAGGGACTGGCTAGAAGCTCCTTTTCATCTTCTGGATCAGAAGCAAAATACAAACACAAGTTCTCTGTATCTATCCCAGCTTTTATATTTAGACTTAAGTTATAATGAGATCAAATCCATCCCAAATGAGTTCTTTGAGTCAATGTCCTCCCTTCGGTTTCTCAATCTCAGTAAAAATTGTCTCCAGACATTCACAGTAAACTATGACAGTGCATTGATCTCACTAGCCATCCTTGATTTAAGCTTCAATGCTTTGCAGAATCTCTTACTAGATGCCAGCACATTGACTAATTTACAGGAGCTCTACATTCAGAACAATCATCTTCAAGCCCTCCAATTTGATATCTTTGCAAGCCTTCCCAGCATCAAATTGCTTAATCTCCAGAGTAATAATATTAGCTTTTGCAGCATGTATTCAGGATTAGCTAAACAAAGGCTTCCTGGAGAGGAGACTGGTTGTGTATCATTTGTTGACTTCCCTGCTCTTAGGTACTTATATCTAGCTGACAACATGTTGAAGAATTTACCAATATATGCTTTTTACAAGACTTCAATAATTCTCCTGGAGCTCTCCATGAACCAAGGACTGCAAATAGAGGCTAAAGCACTATCAGGACTGGAGACATCTCTTGAGTATTTGAATTTACACGGCAATGGCATGACAGTTTTAAATATTGACCTGCCTCGTTTTCATCATCTTAAACATTTAAACCTGTCGGAAAATCAGCTGAGCTGGTTACCCAAATGGGGTAGTGATGCTTCGTTGGAAGTTCTGGATCTACAGAAAAACAGTTTTAGTAATCTACAAAGCAGTAACATTTTAGCATTAGAGAACTCTCTTAAAAACTTATATCTTGCTGGAAACCCACTCAGCTGCTGTGGAAATGTCTGGCTCTCATCTATAATCCATAATAAAAATGTAGAGATCCCTGGTGTAGAGCAGATAACATGCCAGCACTCCAAGAGCTTTGGGTACCAAGAAGAAATTTATATTAGCAACGTAAGACCAGAAGTCTGTGAAAAAGAGGATCTAAAGAAAATCAACTTGCTTATTATACTAACGGTTGCATTAGTTTTATCAGTGATCATCATTGGACTGGGTTCATTCTGCTGCTTCCGCAGACAAAAGTTTAGCCAGCAATTTAAAGCATAGCACACGCATGAACTTAACGAGAAATAAAATCAGGGTGCTACACTGAAAACATAGAGAAATGAAGGGTCCAATTCTTGCCTGTGATTTAACTGTGGATTTTAGGCCAGTTTTTAATCTGCTCTCAGTTGCACCAGCATCGTTTCTTGGGGTTGCAGCAACAAAGTAACTGAGAAGAGAATTTGTCATATTTTGCACTTGTTCCATGCTCATGCAGACCTGTGAAAGCTTGCTCATCAGAAGCGGAGAATCACATAAACCTGTGCTCGTTTAAGGTTTGTGGAACTTAAACCAGCCAAAACTCTTTTGGGCACTACAAACTTTTCACTGAAATGCTAAGCCAGCTTTTTGGTGCCTCTGGATAGGGAGAATCCCCTCCCGCCCCATGCCAAGGCTGCATATCATGGTTTAATGGTCATTTGTGTGACAACACTTGGGGATCTCATCACAGTCGACAGGCAGGATGACTCCTCATGCACCTTTGCAAAACTTCCCAAACCCACATGCTTCAGCGAAACCCATCTCTTTGATTTGGGGTTTTGCTCTTTCATAACAGGTTTGAGGCAGTTCAACTCTTAAAGCTAAACTCAAGGGAAGTGAACCCACACGACCCAGGACCAGGGAAAAACAAAGTCTGACCCTTCTCCCTTTGAAGTCAATTGCAAATCTCCCACTCATTCCAATGTGAACAGGATTAGACTAGTGATCTCAAGAACAACAACTTCACACAGATCTGTGGAGCTCATGACAGCTACTGAAGCTATGCGGTTGTTTGTGAGGATCAAACCAAGGACCTTCAGTATCAAAACCACAGGTGTCTAATGCTTGTGTTAAAGGAGAGCTCAATTAGTTAGCAGCGGGCTGTTACATTCAACAGGACTAGCTACTACTGGGAGACATGATTACGCATATGAAACTCAGTGTATTATGCCTATACCACAAGATGTGATAGACATTTGCACTGAGTATCACAGTTACACAGTTCAGGTCAGAGAGGAGGAATGTCTCCATAGTGTGCAATATATATTTATCTGGTTTTAATGTGAAAAAATTCATTTCTTTGGCAACCACATTATTTAAAAAAAAAAATCTCCCTTAGAGAATGAATTTCAACCAGTAAATATTAGACCTAAATGTTTATTTGTTTACAAACAGCAATTTAACACACACTGCATACAGTTAGCTTTCAATGCATGAAGTAAACAGAAAAAAGTATAAAACAAAATAATTATAGTCCAGTCCTTCTAGATGGAATTTTTTTTTTAACCTCAGGTGTATAAAGGTCCATGGATGGCTTTGCAGATTAACTTCATAGGTCCTTTGCCAAGGACTCAAAAAGGCAACCAATACCTGTTGGTGGTTGTCAATCCTTTTTCAAAGTGGGTAAAGGCATTTCCTCTAAAGGGATTGAAGTGTTCTCCGACTGGTTTATTAATGTTATAATTCTTGACATCTGATTTGTGTCCATTTATTCTTTTACGTAGAGACTGTCCAGTTTGACCAATGTACATGGCAGAGGGGCATTGCTGGCACATGATGGCATATATCACATTGGTGGATGTGCAGGTTGTCAGGTTGTCTGACAAATCAGATGTCAAGAATTATAACATTCATAAACCAGTCGGAGAACACTTCAATCTCTCTGGTCACGCAATCACAGACATGAAGGTCGCTATCTTAAAACAAAAAAACTTCAAATCCAGACTCCAGCGAGAAACTGCTGAATTGGAATTCATTTGCAAATTGGATACTATTAATTTAGGCTTAAATAGAGACTGGGAGTGGCTAAGTCATTATGCAAGGTAGCCTGTTTCCTCTTGTTTTTTCCTACCCCCCCCCCCAGATGCTCTGGTTTAACTTGGATTTAAACTTGGAGAGTGGTCAGTTTAGATGAGCTATTACCAGCAGGAGAGTGAGTTTGTGTGTGTATGGGGGTGGGGGGGATGTGAGAAAACCTGGATCTATGCAGGAAATTGCCCGACTTGATTATGTAAAGAGTTGTCACTTTGGATGGGCTAGCACCAGCAGGAGAGTGAATTTGTGTGGGGGGGTGGAGGGTGAGAAAACCTGGATTTGTGCTGGAAATGGCCCACCTGTTGATCACTTTAGATAAGCTATTACCAGCAGGACAGTGGGGTGGGAGGAGGTATTGTTTCATATTCTCTGTGTATATATAAAGTCTGCTGCAGTTTCCACGGTATGCATCCGATGAAGTGAGCTGTAGCTCACGAAAGCTCATGCTCAAATAAATTGGTTAGTCTCTAAGGTGCCACAAGTACTCCTTTTCTTTTTACTCCTTCTCATAACACAAAAACTTGGGGTCACCAAATGAAATTAATAGGCAGCATGTTTGAAACAAACAGAAGGAAGTATTTTTTTCACACAACACACAGTCAACCTGTGGAACTTCTTGCCAGACGATGTTGTAAAGGCCAAGACTATAACAGGGTTCAAAAAAGAACTAAATAAGTTCATGGAGGATAGGTCCATCAATGGCTATTAGCCAGGATAGGCAAGGATGGTGTCCCTAACCTCTGTTTGCCAGAAGCTGGGAATGGGCAACAGGGGATGGATCACTTGATGATTACCTGTTCTGTCATTCCCTCTGGGGCACCTGGCAGTGACCACTATCGGAAGACAAGATCCTGGGCTAGATGGTCTGACCCAATATGGCTGTTCTTATGTTCTTATGACTCCAGGGCAAAATCTCCATAATCAACAAGGCAGAATTTCCTAGTCATGTAACATGTTTAATACTAGTGCCTGAATCCTAGAAGTCCATCTTCACTTGTACCCTACATTGTAGCTTGAGTCAGGCACCTTCCTCTAAAGAACAGAAGAAAATCCAAATATCCCTAATGTAAATCAAAAGTGGGATTTTCAAAGGCCTGCAGCATTGGCCTAACCCAGCTCCCATGAAAATCAACAGAAGTTTTATTATTGACTTAAATCTGCTCTGCTCCTTTTTAGGCCAACACTGACGCTTTGGAAACTGTTAGATTCTTAAGGCCTGATTCTGATCTCACACCAGATTTACAGTATGGCTGAGGTCATTAACACCTGATTTACACCTGTGTCCATGAGAGGACAATAAATTACCTGGGTCAGTGGGGGGGGGGCAGGGTAGAGAGCAAAAGAGTTTGTCTCAGACCATGTCTACACTACCAGTTGTCAACAAAACGTATGTCGCTCAAGGGATTGGGGAAAAAACCACTCCCGTGACGCATCAGTACAGTTGTGCCACTGTAAACTCTCTAGTGTAGACGTAGCCTGGAGCTATGTCTACTCTGGCAATTGAATGACAAAACTTTTGTCATTCAGAGGTGTTCACCCTCTTTCCCCCGAAAGACAAAAGTTTTTGCCAGGGCAAGTGCCAATGTGAACAGCGCTTTGTTGGCAGGAGAGCTCTTCTGCCGACAACGCGAATGCCGCTCATTGTGGGTAGAAGTATTTTGTCAGCAAATGAGCCGACAAACAGCGGCTACACTGCCTGACTTCTAGTGACATGGCTGTGTCACTAAAAGCTGGGTAGTGTAGACAAAGCCTAAGTGTAGAAGAATACACCTAGTCCCAGATCCTTGTTCACAACAGTAGTCCTGTTGACTCCCCAAAAAAGTATGGGACCATGAAGAAAGAATTAGGCCCTGAGTTTGCAATGGGATTAATCTGGCCAGCCCATTATGTTTATACATGAAGTATATAAGAGGAAAAACAGAAATATTTCCTATACTATATGAGAATATCAAATTCACCCCCATTTGAAGAAATACATGTGGACCAAGAGTCTGACCAACTCCTCCTGAAATCAATGAGACTCTTTCAATTGACTTCCAGAGGAGTTGGATCAAGCCCCAAGACTCCATGCATAGGCCATTGCAAACTGTTGTGCATTATAACATATAAGAATCAAATGGTCAAACAGCACTGGAGAGCTAACTGAAATCTACCCAGGTAAGGAAATTCAGATTTAAAGTATTGCTCTGCTTCCAACATGCCTCATTTTTTCCCAGCTACTGAATGTCAAAAGTAACACACAACAGATAGTTGTATCGTTCTATTTTTAAAAGGAATTCTGTAAGAAATTGGCTTGTAGAATTTGTTGTAGGATTTGTACAACAGAATCATCTTCGGGCTCTGTAAAATATTTAGAAATGTGAATATATTAAAGCAACATTTTGCAATACTCCAGAGACAAAAGTTCATGTCTTCATATTCATTTTTGATAGATTGAAACTTAAGCTTTTATGTTTATTCTAGAGCAGAGGTAGCTGTGCCATAATTAAGGTTTTCAACTTCAGCTTCCATTATAAAGTGAAAATGAAGCACCACTATAACTTGGCTGGTAAAATTCATTTGGCCTGAAAGTTACCAGACTTGGGGCCTGATTTCTAAGCCCACTGAAGTCACCAGAACATCTCCTATATGGCTTTGGAACAGGCTCTTACTCTTCAGTGAGAATATCTGTACAACCAGGAGCCTTGGTTCCAGTCTTGGGCCTGACACTGTTTGGAAAGACTTGCGTTCAAAGTGAAAGCAGGCTGTGCCATCCATTCAGACCTGTGGCTAATTTAGCTACACCAGGAATGTGTGCATTTTGCTTTGATTGAGATAGGTTTCTTAAGGAGCTTGGCCATCATCACTCGTTCCTTCAGCTACTAACCTTCTGACACAATCAATCCCATTTAATCAACATTTTAACCCTGTATTTTTCTTCAGCTGCACAAAAGAATAAAAGAAAGTTCTAAGTATTATTAAATATCTGTGGCCAAATTACACTCCCATTTGCTTCAAAGGGAGCAGGGCCGTATTCCTTTTGGAATAAGCCCCAGGATGAATAAGTAGCAAGGATTCTCCTTGGTTCCCTGCCAGCACTATGAGCAACTGGGAAGCAGCATAGGATCCTTCTGGCAGATCCTATGATGCTATGAGGGATGGGGAATATGAGGGAGAGACGGGGGAAAGGAGAAATGAACAGAGGGACTTCGAGACAGAAAGCTGGGGAACGCAACAGGGTCAGGATGATCTTACTCTACAATATCCACTAATAATGCTGAAAGGACACAGTGCCACAGAAGACAACATCCCTTACCCCCTCTGGCCAGCTATGCTGCCTCTTTCCCTAACTGCAAGAGTTCCAGCCTAGGATGTACCCGGAGAGAGGTTTCTACATGCTGCCGAGCCATTGCTGTCCTGTTATTCAGCCTCCACCATTCAGCACTCCACTGCCAGAAGAATGAGTAGGCAGCATGAGGGCTGCCATTACTGTGACCTTGAACTTACGCAACCCACACACCTCCTGGGTGCGGTGTTCTGTCCCATCTAGTGGCACTGAGACCATTAATGAGTTTACTCTACAGCTCTTCGCTAAGAACCATGTGGCTTTTAGCTCATGCAGTAGAGGCTCATGCATTTAGCTCCAGAGGTCCCAGCTTCGATCCCACCCGCCGACGAGCGGGGTCTGTTGACGTTACACTTACACCTCCTGTGGTTACTGTTTCATATTCTGAGAGTGCTCTATAGCTGCATATATGTCAATGGTTTATGATGAAGTGCTGATAAATGGCAATGAAGACTATGTCGCATCGTCCCCTGGGTTTTGTATGACCACTAAAAACTTCTGTTGTGCCCTGCTAACAGCTTCCTCTGTACAGCTCTCTCTATGGAACTCTGAACACTAGACGCTGTTCCAAAATGTTCTAATACAACTGCACTCACATACCCTATGTGCAGTGGTTCCTCTGATTAGTCTCAGGAACACCTTCCCCACCGTGGAGCCAAACTGAAATGGAGCAGCACTGCTGCACAGCAAGGGAAGCAGCATACAAGCCCTGTACAGGGGGTCCCCACCCCAGCAGGTCAACCAGTAATGAGTCATCTTGGTCATCAATGGGGATTGAACCCAGGACCTCCACATTTAAGAGCATGAGCCTCTACAGCTGGAGCTAAAGGAGTAACTCCAATAGCTGGCAGCTGTAGCAGCCAAATCCTCTGTGGATCAGACAGTTGTGTGGGGGGGGGGCATGTAGCATACAGTTACAGAGGGCTAGATCTTCCCCATTTAAATCCTATCTCAAGGGCTTAAATGGGCCTCAGCTGGTACATAGGCCTTGTCCTGGCCTCTGCACAGGGGTGACTTTCACCCTCTTTCCACAAGAAGTTATTTCTCATGCAAAAAAGACCAGCAGTTCTGATCTGAGGCAACTGTAAGGAGAAGCACAACAAGGGACATCAAAAATTCTTTGTTCTAGAAGAAGGCTCATCTGCAACACAGCCCTCTGCAGGGATCATGACCAGCCCAGCACTGGCAATTATGTGTTATTTTTTAAAAAAAAAATACATCACCCAAAATCCCAGCATCCCAGAGGTTTCTTTTCTTGCATCCATGTATCGTCTGAACATTCAGTGTTCTTGCATAATGACAGGTTTCAGAGTAACAGCCGTGTTAGTCTGTATTCACAAAAAGAAAAGGAGGACTTGTGGCACCTTAGAGACTAACCAATTTATTTGAGCATAAGCTTTTGTGAGCTACAGCTCACTTCATCGGATGCATAAAGTGATAGTGGTTCTGTTGTGTGGTGTGTGGTTGCTGGTGAGTGTTTGCTTCAGGTGGGGGGCTGTCTGAAGGCAGGGACCAGCCTGCTCTGCATTTAGCTGTAGGGAGTGGAAATCTATCAACTTCATGAAAAGACTCGTACAGATACAGAACCCAGAAGTCACCTACTACAGGACAGGCCCAACAAAGAAAATAACAGAACGCCACTAGCCATCACCTTATGTCTACAGCCTATCTTGAAGGACGACCCATCACTCTCACAGATCTTAGGAGACAGGCCGGTCCTTGCCCCCAACGTGAAGCAAACACTCACCAGCAACCACACACCACACAACAGAACCACTACCACTTTATGCATCCGATGAAGTGAGCTGTAGCTCACGAAAGCTCATGCTCAAATAAATTGGTTAGTCTCTAAGGTGCCACAAGTCCTCCTTTTCATTCAGTGTTCTGTTATTAGGCTGAAAAAAAAATCCCATTTTATTTCCATGCATCAGAGAAACATTTACAGTTTGAATTTAAAAGAAATCCTTGGCTAGATTTATTATTTTCCATAAACCAGCACCAGATCTGTTTGCACACAAAGACACAGTATAATAAATACACCAGTTTAGGATTAGCTTTGTTTAGCCTTGGTCCGATCATTCCAACATCTTGTGCTAAGTTATGTTCTTACGACAGTTACAACTTTTTGGTACCACGACAGAGCCTGTATCCTCTCCTTTTTTTTACTATTCCTACTTGCATGAAACAAATTTGGTTAAGGTTTTCAAAAGTAACTAGTGAACTGGAATGCCTCAATTTGGGGTACCCAAATTGAGACACATTAGAGAGGGCTGTTTTTAAGAAAATGCTGAATGCCCATTCTCCTAAAAGCAGGCCTCTTTAAGTGTCTCAGATTAAGCTTCCCAAAACTGAGAAACACCAGATTTCTAGATCCTTCTCAGTTATACCTGTCTTTACAAAAGCTGATATTCCTCTAATTTATCAAGCGTGCATAGGATGCTGATGAATGGCAAAGATACCAGTGTACTTCTGTAGTGATGCCCATATGGCCATGTATTGCACTCTCATAAGAACATAAGAATGGCCATACTAGGTCAGACCAAAGGTCCATCCAGCCCAGTATCCTGTCTACCGACAGTGGTCAATGCCAGGTGCCCCAGAGGGAATGTACCTAACAGGTAATGATCAAGTGATCTCTCTCCTGCCATCCATCTCCACTCTCTGACAAACAGAGACTAGGGACTCCATTCCTTACCCATCCTGGCTAATAGCCATTAATGGACTTAAGCTACATTAATTTATCCAGTTCTCTTTTAAACTCTCCATTGGAGCGTGGTTTTTATATATCTTTTTTTTTCAAAAGACAACAAATATATCAAAACACAAGATTCATCATAATACACAAAGTAAGTAAAGAGCGTTAGGATAAAGGGAGGGGAGGGAAAGTAACATATCTATCCTCAAGATGGAGCTTGTTATATATTTTCCCACACTCAAAGAACAACCATCTACTTACAGTCAGAATCACTTAATTTAGACAAAGAGGAAAAAAATGCCACAAGAACGAACAAGAGTAAGTTTAAGAGAGAGCAGTGTGTATGTCTTCTCTGTTCATTCTGCAGTAATGCTGAAAACAAAATGGCTTCCAGCTCTGCACACAGGCCTAATTTTTAGACACTGAAAAGCCCAATAAACAAAGGAAAATATCACAGTTTCTAGAGCTGGATGAAATTTGATAAATATATGGGAAGGGTTTAGTTGAAATGTTAATGATTTCCCCTCCAACTACTTTTGACCATGGGGGTGGGGGGGGGAGAGGGTTGTCTCCCATATTTTTGACCAACTATAAAGCAGATTGAAACTTTTCAAATTTCAGGATGGAAAAGTCAAAAAAACCATTGCACAGTGTTTGCAATTCCTCCCCCATCTTTAAAACAGCTCTAATAGTTTCATAGCTCTATGCACCTCGGATTCCCCTCTTCCATGGTGTTCTGCCAGCTCCTCCTTTGCCGAAACAGAAGAGGTGCTGCTCCTACAGGACTGTGCTTGGGGATGGGCCAGTCAGAGCTCTCCAAGCATCAGGAAGAAATATTTGCAGCTGGAGGGGGCAGGGGAGCAAACAGGGAACTCAGGCCTGGCAGTGGGCACGGGGAGAGAAGTAATGTACTTCCCCCACAACGATGTAGGGCTGGAGATCCCTACAGGTCTAGAGAGCCAGAGGTACCTGCCAGGCAGCCCCGCATGCCAAGGGCAAGGGAAGAAAAGGTCTATCACAGCAGTTTTCAAACTGTGGGTCGGAACCTTGGAGTGGGTCATGACCCCATTTTAATGAGGTTGCCAGGGCTGGTGTTAGACTTGCTGTGGCCCGGGGCCCAAGCCTGGGCCCAACTTCCCGGGCCCAAGCCCAAGGGCTTCAGTCCAGGTTGGTGGGGCTCGGGCTTCAGCTTTACCCTCATCCCCGGGTTCGGGTGGGCTCACGCTTCAGTCCCCTCTCCTTGGGTTATGTCGTAATATTTGTTGCCAGAAGGAGGTTGTGGTGCAATGAAGTTTGGGAATCGCTGCTCTATCAAGTTTCAACCCTTCTGCTGTAGTGGAGTGGGAGTGGGAGTGGAGGGGGGGGCAAT